TTGTTGTATGTTTTTACTTTAATTAATGTTCAATTTCTTGTAATTTAAATTATCAAATTTTCATTATTCCTTTATAATTATTACTTAAATATTACATATATTGAATGTACTGCATATATTTAGGAATATTCACATTATAAAAAAAAATATAAAAAAAAATAATCAAAAAAAATAGTTAATAATTTTTAAGTAAACAATTTTTAAAAATAGTCAAGTTGTCTATAATTAATAACATCTAATTGAGTCAGTTAAAAGGATAATGGTAAGAAAAGAAGATTTAGACATACTATCCGTCTTAGTATTTAGCAGTTTTATTAATATTTAAGAATACGTTTACGGTAATGTATTTAAAAATCAAAATTATTGCTGTTAATAACATTGTCAACTTTAAAAATTCTTCTGCATTTTGATTTTAACTTAGTTAATATTTTAAAATTTGCGATATGAAAATCTTTGATAGATATACAATTACTCCAGCCAAATATTTCAGAATTAAAATGTTAGATTTTTTTGAAAATATTAAAAGTTGTATCTGAGTTTGTCCGTCTTGTGCTTAATTTTTTCAGTAATTACACACATTAAACATACAAGCATATTTATTCTTTAAAAACACTCAATGACCTATCAATTATTTCTTTATTATATTTTAATTTGTTATATTTATTAAATTATTTAATATTTTGTGTCCTGTGAATGCCCAATAATTTTAGATTTTTATAAATATGTTGCTATTAAATAATTTTATTGTGTAGACTTGAATGTATATGACACGGAAATTTTAATTATTAATTTAGTATACAAATAAACCTGAATAAAACATTTTAAAATTATTTTAATTGTTATTTTAATATTGAAATTTTAAATAAAAGAAACAAAAATGTATAAAATAATTAAATTTTTTTTTAGAAGATTGTTGTTAGAATAATAATATTGAGTACTATTAAAAATTAAAATTGTATTATGCATACCAGTGATCGAATAATTTAATATTAAAATTTAATATTGAAATTTAATATAATAATTGTATTATATAAAATACAAGGAAATTATTATTTTTCTGTTCATATTACTTAAAAAATATAAGAAGAAAAATCAAATCAAATTAGACTTTTGGACAATAAAATTCATTTGTAGTTGCAGACTAAGAATTAAAACGTAATAAAAAAATTTGCATGTAATAATTAAAATTTTGAAATAATCTAGTCTTAATAGATTTAACACAAAATAATTAAGTTAAATATTGAAACAGTTTTTTAATTTTATAACATTTAAGCAATGAAGAAGTGTGAGTAAATTTAGTTACAAAGATTTTAATTTATAATAGAAAACAAATTAATAAATTAAGTACTATATGCAAATAAATTTTTAGTCTGACCCTATAAATTTTAACACCTTTTTTTTAATATCCTTTTTTCATTTAAATTATTATGAAAAAAAAACATTTTTATAATTAAATATTATGTATCAAATAATATAATTAATAAAATTTATATTTATGGCCACTATTTTTGTTCATTATTGTGTGTTTAAAATGATTATTAATTTCGTTTCTGGCTTGTTTTTTCTTTTGAAATAATAAATAAATTTTAATATTATTTAATTTATTGTTTGAAAAAGACATAAAAAACTAAGAAACAAAATAAAAAAATTTAAAACATAATAAAATGTCTAAAATATTTTTCAACATAATGTTTAATAAATTAAATTAAAATTAAATTAAATTTTTAACTTAGATTATATAATTATTATCAAAAACAAATGCATTGTAGCTATATATATATACATACATGTTTTATGAAAAGTATAATAAAATAAATAATTAAATTTGAGCTCAAAAAATATAAAGGGTTAAAAAACATAAAAAGTACACAGTATGTTTCGGTAATATTTTGGGTGTTTCTACACAATAAAATTTTATAAAATATTTTATAAAATATTGGTATTTCTTTATTAATTTATTGATATTGCATATTGATGCAATTACAAATCGATTATTAATTTTAGTTTTAAATTTTTTGATTTTAAATTCCAAGCAGTTTGTTATTAAATTTGTTTTTTGTTTTTTAAATTTGATGTTGAGTCAATGATACTGGAGCTTTAATATTTATTTGAAATATAAAGTAATTTAAATTGAAATATTTTGAGGCAATATATCACCTAAGTAATTGAGTCTTAAGTAAGGCAGTCTTTGAACAGACTAAACCTTCAATCAGGTTGATTGTGATTGCTCAAAATGTATACTTAAAATTGGAATTAAAAAAAATTACGAAGACTTTGATTTTAATTGAATAAATTGTAAATGTTTTTAACACAACATCCCTATCATCACTCATGTTCACATGTAATATTGTGAACTTGTAGAATTTTGTGTTATTATGAATTTGCTAATAGTAATACTTAGTAGTACGTGGGGATCACTCTCACTACTAATATTATTATATGATTATTTTATTCTTTTTTGAGCAATTCATTATTAAATTAAAGAAATAATAATCTGATATTGAATAGTAAGCATATTTCATGGTTTCCCAATTATTATTCATTTCTATTGACCCACATTCTTTTAGTTATATGTCCCTTGATGTGATTAGATTGGTAGAACGCATAAATCAATTTGGAAATTTGGAATTCAATACTGAAAATCGAAATATTTTTCACTAATATGTGAACATTCTATATTTTATATATTTTTATAAATATTTTTAATTATCAATGATTTTTTTTCATATTTTTCTTTTTAAAACATTTGATAATTTTAATATACAACATTATTCTTTAAGATTATTAATTTACATTTTGAGTTTATTTCGAGTTCTTAATGCTCATTATAAAGGGATGCTTTACTCTTCATCTCTCATCCTTATTTCTACATAGACTCTTTTAATTGTATTTTGAGTTATTCTATGCTTAAATGTGAAATGAAGTGTAAAAATAGCAGCATGTTTTACTTTCATAATTTTTATATTTTCTTAAATGAGTGATTGGTTTGTCGTTTTTTTTCAATATTTATTATGTATAGTTTTATGTAATAAAAAAATTTATATTATTTTTAAATTATTTTTGTGTTATTGAAAACCTAAATTGTTTCTTTGTTTTTTTTCTTTGTTCTTCTCTTGTAATTATCAAAAAAGTTTTAATTTAAATATAAATTTTTAGATTATTGAGGATATTACATTCTTTTTTTATCAGTTATTTTATATAATAAATTTTTTTTCTTTCTTTTTCTATTTAATATTTTAATTATTATTTACATAATAATAATAGTACAAAACAAAAAAAGATTAATAAATAAATAAATTTATAATTTGAAATTCAAGAGTATTATTTGTTATGAAAATAACTACATACTTATATGTACAAGCATTATTTGTTTAAATGCTTTTATGTGTAATTTTATAAAAAAAAAAAAACGAAAATAAATATATTTTAATTAAAATTGTTTAAAAACAAATAAATGAACATCTAGCTTACAATATTAAAGATTACAATTGATTTTAAATTATAATAAAATTTATGAATTAAAATAATTTAATCGACACTATTAAAATTTGAAATATGTTAAAAATAAATAATATTTTTGTTATAGCGATTGCAATACAAAACAAAAATCGGCCATTATTAAAATCATACAGAAATTATGATTGTAAAAAGTTAAATATAAAAATTCGAACATTATTTCACAAATTTTTAAAACCAAGTAATTTGAATAAGATATAAGGGATTTTCGATAATTTAATTTTAACTTAGGTCTTAATATAAAGTATGTTTGATAGGAATTTTAAAGTGTTTTTATAGCAACTGCAAAAATATTAATTAAATTTTGTGTAATTGTAAAATTAAGAAAAAAATTTAATATTCTATTATTTTTTAAAATATAAAGGAAAAAAAAGTTATTTTCTAGAAATTAAATTCTATTTTTTGTCATATTGTGATGTATGACCATTTTTCTTATTAAATACATGCAATTACTGTAAAAACTAAAAACATTTTCTTTCTATTGTACAAATATTTCACTTTTCTTTTTGTGGAAGTTCGAATCATTTATCAAATCACACATAGTGAAAAATACATATTTAACAAAAAAACAGACTGTTAAAGATGTCAAAAACCTTTAAATAGACGAGATGTGTGTTCAACAATGCATAAAATAGCAGCATACTGATTACAGTTGCTTTAGTTGCAAAAACGAAAATTGCAAGTAAATGTCAGAGACTTTAAAAAATTCTTTTATTTAGATATATTGTGGAATAAATGAAATTTCTTTATGATTTTTATAAATTTTTTATAGAATTATAATGTCATAGTTTTGCTAAACGTTTTAAAACAAAAAAAAAAAAGCGTTATAAAAAAGGAAATATTCAGATTCTTACAATTATTATAGAATTTTGAATCTCAAAAAATACAAATAATATTTCAAAGTAAATAAAAATTCTGTATAAAAACAATTTTATTATAATTTTAGAATAATTTAGATTTCATTTGACATTTTCTATTTGTCACAATTTTTTTTTATACATCCTGTATTTTTGAAATCAGGCATTCTTATTTCATTAATAAAATTTTTTTCGGAGTTTAGGAAACTTAATTATTTCTACTATTTATAATAAATATTTATTTACAAATGTTTTTTATTAAATATATTTAATTAATTTTATTTTAAATCTCTTTCCTGGTATTAATTAATTAATTTATATTAAATTCCTACCTAAGATATTTTTTTTGTATTTTTAATTTAAATTTAATTATTAATAAATTTTTTAATAACTAAATTTTTGTTTTTATAAATTCTTTCGACGTTTTTCAATTTTTTTTTTTTATTATTTCTAATGATAAACGATTTTTTTTCATTATAATTAATTATCAATTATAATTTTTTTTTTGTATGTTAAATAAATAGTTTGTTTTAAACTTAAATTTAAATATATATATATATATTTTTTGTATTATCAACATTATAACGTTATTTTTACATTTTACAATTTTGGTTTGTTTTTTAATTTTTATTTCATTATATGAATTTTAATGCTATGCTTTTGTAATTAAATTAAATCATTTCGAAATTGAAAAAAAACTTTATTAATTACAAATAATAATGTTCATGGTATAATTTAATTATTATGTTCGGAATGAAATGTCCTCAAATAGTCACCAGATACAATACTTAAAGTACTGGTTAAAGTTAGTGACTTATTTAGCACTAAAATTGGGCCTAAAATGATAGAAATTATTAAAACTTAAATTAAATAATAAACTATGGGAGATTCTGCTGGACTCCTATTTAGCCTCACTTTTTATCGTATATATATTTAAAAATTAAGCACTCTGCTTATTTCTTAAACATTAATTCTATTAACGTAAAAATATTACCAACGCAGTTACAGGGTGTTTAGACTAAACGCTATTGAACGTAATTGATTTGAATGTTCTAATTAATTTATATTTAGACAACTTGGATTTTTATCTGGCAATTGGTTCAGATTAAAAATAAATATTGTCTGCAAATAAAATTATTTAAATTATATTTGATTAGTAAAAAATTAATTTAATTTTAATTCAAGCTTGAAATGATTTAATTTAATTTTTATTTTTTTTTTAATTTTTGTTTTTAAATTAATTTAATTAATTTCTTTTTTTATATCACTTATAAATTTAGATTTATTTGTTAATTTTTTTTTTAATTATTTTCATAATTTTTTATAGTTTTCTTTATTAATATAAAATTCTACCTTATTATAATTTATTATTATACTAAAATTAAATAAATAATATTTATTAAATAAATTTAAATGTTATTTTAATTTTTTTAGATAGGTGTTTGATTTTCTTCTGATTCTAATTCAGGTTCCTCGGGTAATGTATAAACACCAGTTAAAACATTTTGGACGACTATTGATTGTTGTAAAATATTCGTTGGATCATATTCTACATTATTAATAGTTGTTGTAGTTGATTGTTGATCATTGTTATTATTAATTAAAGATGATGTAATTGTATTTAAATTATTACTATTTGTATTAATATTAGAATTAAATAATGATGTTTGCTCTTGTTGTGATTGTTGTTGTGGTAATAATGTACCAGTTATTGTTGATGCTGATGCTTGTCCTGTTGATGATGATACTGGACCAATAAAACTACTATTATTACTACTTAAACCACTATTAGTTGTTATTTGAATTAATTGAGGCACAACACCATCTAAAACTGATTCTGGTAGTAAACCACTACCATCTAATGATGTAGTTATACCGATACCAGTTAAACTACTTAAATTTGTTGTTGCTGTTGCACCAGAACTATTAGCAGCTATCGCAGCAGCTGCTGCTGCTGCTGCAGCTGCATTTGCTGATTGTGAACTATTTGGATCCATAGTTACAATTGGAACTAATTCATGTCCAATATTATGATTGGCGCAGTCTTTCAATACATGTAATTGATTCATATCGGGTTCCTGATTAAATATTAATGATGTTGGTGTACCTGTAACAAAAAAAAAATAGAAATTCTTGAATTTTAAATAAAAAAAAATATTTTAGTTCACCTACCCGTCACTAACGTTTCCTCGGTGGGATTTCGTTGATATAAATTTGTGTTTTTCTCGTAACGTCAAGATACTAAATAATCATTTGGATCATCATGTTCTTTATTGTTAATTGGTTTTTTATTAATATCGACGACATGTTTTATTCTATGTACAATTTCTTGATGTAATACATTAAAACACATTGCTGTTAATGCCATACCACTCATTATATAAATTGAACAAAACCATAATGTTGATGTTGATTCTTTTTTTAAGCCAGGAACTAAATCACCAAAACCAATTGTCGATAAGCTCATAAAACAAAAATAAACACCATCTAGTATTGGCCAATTTTCTAAACGATATAATACAACAGCACCAAATAATATATATATGATCATCATTGTCAAACATAATAATATTGGTGCTAATAAACTTAAACCATGCATTGATACTTTTGATTCAGATGTACTTAATGAATCAATTTCTGGTATTTGTATTGTATTATGATGTTGATGTTGTTGTTGCTGTTGTTTATCTGGTGAATGTAAATTATTATGTAACGAACCAGATCTAACATAATATGGTTCCTGTAATGCCATATGTTGTGCACGTAATTCTTCTTGTTGTCTCTTCTTTTTCATACGACGTTCTTTTTCGGCCATACGTTTTTCATCATAACAACAATAACCACAATTTGAACATAAACAACAGCATAATGCCTTTGAGAATACACCACGTGCTACTTTTGCTAATACACCACCAGTACTCGATAAATATATTAATGTTAATGGTATACCAAGTATTGCATATGCTAATGTAACAATACGACCTAATGTAGTCCTTGGTGCAATATTACCATATCCTGTGAATTATAAAAGTAATAATAATAAAATGAAATTTTTTTGATTTTTATTTTTGAATAAAAAACAAAAAATGTTTTTTTTAGGTTTCAAAGAATGAAGGAATTTTTTTTTAATTTTTATTTACACTATAAATTTATTTAATAAAGTGAGAATTTTTGTACATTGAAAAGATTTTATAAAATTAAATAGGACTGTAAATCATAAAATTAATTCAGTACCCTTTTTTTTTCTGTTTGCTATTGTTTTTCTTGGCTTTAAAAACGAATAATTCATTTGCAACATTTTTATTATTATTTCACTTTTAAATTACGAAAATATTTTCCTGTTCTTATGAACTAATTTTTATGTAATAATTTTGTCATAAATGGGGCCATAATAACAATGTTGAATATTTGAGTCTATTTATGAAAAATATATGAGCACTGAGAGAATAGGATGAATGGAGAATATTTCATTTTTTGTTCATTGCTGTCAAGGTAATTTAATCATAAATGAGAGAAAGAGAATAATAATTGCTATGATGTTTATTTTTCAGCTTTAATAGAGCATTAAATTTACGAAAAAAAGAGTTGCCATACTTGAAATTTTTTTAATCGGCAGTTCTCATGAATCTAATAATGGATAAAGCCAACATAAAGTACACTCCCATTTAACGCAGTATACCTCTACATCAAATTGACAATGTCAAATTTACTTAATAAACTTAAATAAACGTAAAGTTAACACAATTTTGTTTCTTTTTGTTTCAGGTAATTTAATTATAATATTTTTAGTTTTGTAGTTGAGCATGGAACGATTAAATTTCAATAAGAATTTGTAATTGATTCTACACAGGTGGTACAAATTCAGGGTTACAGTTCCTAAATTAAACACCATTCTACTTTAAATTTCTTTCCACGATTTCCTTAATTGTGCTTCAACGAAATATAGTTGAATAAAATATCAACACCCTTCTATTCAAAACAATAATAATAAATGTTTCAATTATTGCAAAATTGAAATAAATTTTACATTAACAGTAATTTTAAAAATTTATTTTATTCATAGTAATCAATTCCGGAATCAATAAATTGTTCTTTAATATTTTTTTCGATTTTCTCATTTCCAATACACTATTAAATTTTGTATCTTATTCAACCCTATTTTAGTTTACGACTTTACGTCTCTTAGCAATATTTGTAAGATGCATTAAATTTTTCGGATATGGTGCTGAAAAACTTTCAGATTTTTGCTTATGTACTGCACAATGCGGGATATATGCTAAGTATGCAGTGTTTGAAACTCAGTCTTTCAATGCATTTTGAATTCAAGATGGTTGTTCGAAACTGAAAATATTTGATATGAAATTCTGGAATTAAAATATTGGTGAATCAATTGTTAGACTGATGTTTTATAAGTTTTACCATGGAAAAGTGCAAATATTTTTTTTTAACTTTTCTTAAAATAGTGTGGTATTAAGAACAGGTTCTCGAGAACTGTTGATAATAAGTTTAAAATTATTAGGTTGAAAGCAGTAAGATTTGTATATTAATTATATTTGATATACATCCACAACATGACACACGGGGAGCAGTCCAACGATATTCCCGACATGGTCCTGCAAACCATAAAGGCTGGGATGGCTCGTACATACACAGTTTTCTCTTGATTTCGCCAAAGAAGCTTGGAATGAAATACCACTTCCAGTTATGCGACCCGTAATTCTCTTTGAGCTATGCCCAAAACAAAGAGTCTCCTCAAATTTACCACTAACGATGGTGACAATATCATCAACATAAACTTGGACATAAATTCATTGGCGAAGCAGCAAATGAAAGAATCATCAATCATTAATATCAGCGGATAGAAAACTCTACAAACGCATATCTTGAGGGTGTTTTGCTCACAGCATCCTCTGCAACTCTTGCAGACAATATGGTAGACATCTCTTCATGGCCCTCGCAAACCCTTGATGCAGAGTGTTAGCCTTCCCGATGTCCAAAAACGTACATCATCTTCAATAAACAAAATATGTATTTTATAATATACATTTTACCGTAACATTGAAAAGTTTTTAAAATACTGATAAGTTTTATGTATATGTTGTACTAAGATTATGTATATATAAATCTATGTGCAGTATATAGATGTTTATATACCGTATACACTACAAAATTCTTATAATTTCAATTACATTTGTATTTTATGATTTTTCAGTGCATTGATCTAATGTTATTGTTTCTTTAAATCGATAAAAAAGAAAAGAAGAAAAAGCAAATTTAAAAATCTTGTTGGTTTCATAGATTGTAGATATAAGAAAGTTTTCATATAAAAATCAAAACTAAATCGAAGATAAGGTTGCTTGAAGTTCTCTCCCTTTATAATTCCATTACTTAACTGTATTGTGCTTGTGCACAATTCAACAAACAGTTGAAGATATTTTTTAACTATATTTCATAAAATATATAAAGACGCACAATATTTACAACTATAAGATGAGGATCACAAGAAAATGAAGAGATGAAAACAAATAGAAGAATGAAGTATTCCATTAAAATCTTTTCAAATGCTTTAATAGAACTTTTTTTATAATGTCCTTTTTAGCATATCGAAAAAATTTTTTAATGAGAATATGCTGTAAATTTTATGTAAGTCTAGTCAATTTGCTTTAGTTAAGAAAATTTTGCTTCTGTTTTTTTTCGAAGCTTATTATTTAGATCGAAATGAGCAGAAAGCCGTGGGACAGAGCTAGCCTAATGGGATGAGATATCGCAGATTGGAGTTGGAGATTTAAACAGATTCCTCAAGAGAACCGAGTAATTTAGACAGACAACCTGTAATAGCACGATCAATGACGGGGTGATCGCAGCAAAATTCCACATCTGTGCTGATTCGGAATATCTACCACACCCCAATATCGTATTTCCTTGATTTATTTTGATCGTATTTCCTTGATGATTTTCCTTGATTTTATTTGCCTACTTACTCGTTTTAACATTTAGAATACCTACACTTGCCCTTAAAATTATTTATATTTTTCAAATTCTTTATGAAAATGGAAAATTTTAAGTAAACTTTTTTTTCTTTTCTGTTCTTCACAATTCCTTTCGATTTAAAGTTTATCGATAATTCTTCTTATTAAATCCCTCGTTCTTTCTATGGTTCTATTGTTGATTTATACTTACACACAATATTAAGTCATGTATGTATAGAATTTTACCCTCATTTTCTGCAAATTACTTTTTATAAAATTTATTTCCACATTTTTTTTTGTTTTTTGCTTTGCATTTTAAGTAAAACTCCACAAATAACTTATAGAAGAAATAGTAAATTTTAATAAATTCAAAAAGTTTTTCAACATGTATTACAAGTTTAAAGTGGATGTAAAATTTATATGTTAAACAGTGATTCCTGCCAACTTATGTCGAGTTAATATAGTTTTCATTTTATACTTGTTTTAACATCTATGGAAATATCATGTGAGTTTAATCAATTTTTTCTTATTAATATGGCCGAATCACTAAAAAGTGTGAATTTTCGATTTTCTAGTGTTCCTAATAATTCTTATTGTAAAAAAAGTAGTATTAGGTATTCTATTAAATTATTAGTTCATAAATCATATACTAAAATTGACATTAATGACAATTGCATGCACATTGTGTAAATAAAATACATATTTGACGAACGTCTAAATATATGCAAAATTATAACTTTGTTGAATATGAAAAGACTTCCATTGACATATGGTTAGTAATGTTGTCAATATGTACAATCATTATGAGTAATATTTTGACATTTACTTGAAATACGTTATGTCCGTCATTTTATTTTATTCCGAAATTTCAGACCAGAGGCAAATTATTTACATCTCTATTACATTTAAATTTAACAAAATAAATTCGAATTTCTTATATTAAATAAAAAAAAAAAAACAAATTCATATTTCCATAAAATTACACTATTAAGTTGTGAATATTATTTGAATATTTATAAAATAAATTTAGAAAGAAAATATAAAATACATACAATATTTAAGTAGTTGGCATAGCTTTAAGAGGATAGAAACTTTTAAATAGAAAGTTTAAATAAAAAGTTAAATAACATTTTGATTAAAAAAAAATTAAAGTTGTGTGGTTTATTTACATATACATATGTACATACACATACTTTTACATATAATATCAATTCATGTTCTCTATTTTTGAAAAAGTTGCTCTTTTTCTAAAGAGATTTCAATTTAGAATATAATTTTCAAAAGTTATGAATTCTATACAAGATTCAATTGGTTATTCGAACAGATGAAATACATATAAAAATTCACACACATACTAATTTGTGTATGAGCTATATATGAATTCAATAAAAAAAAATTGAATTAGTTTCAATTACTTCAATAAAATTTTATACATGCTTATTTTAACACTTGAAAATTTTTTTTTTTGCGAGAAAATTATTAATCTATTGAAAAATTTTATTTTAAACTTTTTTTTCCACCCAGAATGTGATTAGCCATAAACTGTAAGTTTAAATACAATGTCTAAGTGTTTTTGAATTTTAAAATTCTAAACGACATTGTCAGTTCTTAGTTTTTAATCTGTCAACGCAGGCAATAAAGAGAACTGGGCTGTTATTTCAATTAAATTTGCGGCTGTGTGCTACAAGTAAGTTTTTTTTTCAAAAAACTTTGAGAGTTAGACTTTATTAGAACTGAATTCTCCGAAAATACGATTTGTCATTTTTTGTCAAAGCGAAAAATTGAGAATAAGATTGAAATACTTAAATTTTCTATTCAGTTGAAAATTAATATTTAAATTAAATACTTTAAAAATATTAAATTTCTATTTACTCTTTAAAATTTTAATTTTGATTGAAAATAAAAAAAAATTTAAACGTGGGACGAAAATGTATACATATTTCAATTTCAATTGTTCTTTATTAATTTATTTCATTCATAGTCACATTAAAATGGCATTTTGTATGTATTTGCTTCCCATGCTCAGGCGACACACTTTTATTTTAT